AGACAATTACTGCAAAACATTGGAATAGTGATACTGGTCGAGACTACATTGTTCTCTCTACTAAACCTGATTGTTCATACTAACACTTCTACTTCTCTGTATATATTCCTGTTTGTAATATATCGGTGTTATTCCATACCTGTGGTCGAGTTCTTCTTTATTGGTTCTACCTTGGACTATCACCGTGGTACAAGGAACCAGACCATAACAATTATTAATCCACAGTTCTTTAGCATTTATTCTTTCTCTCGATACAAAGTAGAGCTTAATGTTATAATATTTAGTAATATTTTTTCATCGCGATACGGAAATTTCTATGTTTCGGAACCTTAAATTGGTTCCATTATCAAGCGATATTCAGTAACTTTTGAAGAAAATGATTTACTTTTTAAAGTGGAGTGGTATTATATTGAAGAATTTACGGAGGAGGGGAACAAGATTTCAAAATTTTATGGGTGTGTACATATTTGATAAATCAAAAGACAGATGTAAGCTAAAGCAGAAAAACGAAAAAAAAAAAAAAACGTAAGTTAGAGGTTAGGTGAAGAGAATAATGAAGGGAGTAGGTAGATGTTATGGTAATTTACCCATGCACGCATGGACTCTCCCAGCTATAAACAGGAGCAGGTACTGCCTTTTGGAGAGGGAAGTTTCCAGCAGTCAGCTCTGACAGTCGGACCGAACATTCTTGCTGTAACATAACTTAATATATTTATTTAACTCAATTCCTCTCTTTGTGTCTTTATTTCTGGCCCTAACAAGGCCACAACAATAGTGTTGCTAGAAAATCCTTGTCTCAGACAGCTTCTCAGTCATATTTTGTATTTGTTCAGGCCACACAGAACCCTGTGGTTTCTAAACTATAGTGAGCAGAAGTTAGTTATCGCATCTAGCGTGGTCAAGTGTCTGAACAAGGCTGATACGCTCAAACAGCCAGTGACGTGTGAAATCATGCTAATGTAAGTAACAACGGCTTTCGAATAGTTTCATCGATCCAGTTTTACTCACTCGACTTAAGTCGACCCGTGGTATGGTTTTCAGGCAATTTTCCTCTTGTTCTTCCGAGCTGATATTATCAAGTAGTCAACTGTTTGACAAACTAACTACACACACACACACACACACACACACACACACACACACACACACATATATATATATATATATATATATATATATATATATATATAAATAGAAAGAAAGAACAATAAGATATATAATCCGGTGTTCTTATAGATATTTTTATTTTTACAAAATAGTGCTCAATGTAAATTTACAGAGCATTAATATTCTAAATTAATTGATTTAAAATATGTTTTTTTCGCTACACAGTTCTAACCATGTTTCAAAAATGGAAGCTAAAAGCCCCGAATTTAATTTTGTAATTAAATTAAAGACATTATTCCATTTCATCCTCAAGCGAATTTTTTTGAGGATGAAATGGAACTAACTGTGCAGCGAAAAAAAACATATTTTAAATCAATTAATTTATAATATATATATATATATATATATATATATATATATATATATATATCGTGGACTCTCCTGTCGTTGATCGATGCGGGATGCTGACCCGCGCATACCGGGAACCCATTTGCGATGTATAAGGGTCAGGCAACACAGTTCCTAGGAACTGACAGCCAGACAATCTGCACATATGATATGATTATATTGTTGAAGGTTTTGTGCAGAATCAACCACACTTTTTGAAGAGCCGAATACAGAGACATGATGCCACAAGGTCCCCAAACGACCCTCCGCCTGTTTTGAATTCAGAGTTTTCTTTCTCGTAGAGCCCAGGGGAAAAGAAGAGGATTCATACCTTTCTCAAGGGTATTAAGTGAATGTAAAGGATTCAATTGAACTCGGCTCTCCGATTCCTCAAGCCATTACTCCACCTTGCCTCCTTATATATATATATATATATATATATATGTGTGTGTGTGTGTGTGTGTGTGTGTGTGTGTTGCATAAAAAATAGAAATATTTGAAGCCCTTATCTTAAAAAACATCCGTTAACAACATCAACTAAAAACACGGCCACAATGTATTGGCCGTTTTCGGGAGGTAATAGGAGTTATATACAATATATATGCACAAATTATACACACACGAAGTTCAGCAAAGAAATCTCTTGTTCACATACACGGAACAAACAATCAACTTACTCATCTGAACTTAGCCATTTTAATGAAACATGTATAAGAGAGCAACTGCTACCCAAATTCACAATATATGCACAAACGTGCACACGCACACATGTTTTCAACCAAATCCCGTACAGACCAACTAGAATTATGATGCATAAACACCCAAGAATTATACACGTATTTGATTAAATGGGGGTTGTACCCATTTACTTATATATTATTAAGTTTCCTAAAAATAATGATTGACTAAATCAACGAAATGAAATAACTGTATTTTGTAGGCACTGCACAATGTTTACATTAAAATACAGTTAATATGATTTTTCTTTAAAATGCTATATATTAAA